GCATGACTACCACCATTTTTCATTTTGTACAAATAGACATACTGGAGCTAAATTAGATATAAATTAGATCTTTATGTTAGTACGGTAATGGCCCTTTTAGATTGAAGCCCAGGATGAAGCAGTGTATTGTCATCTATAACACTAATACTGACCTGTGAATTAAAAAGCTAGCTTCTAGGCTATGTCAAAGTTTAGTACTGCATGCCTAGGCAATTACAAATTAAAATCTTGTACCAGGCAGACCAGATGCTACATTGTATGTACAAAAGCTTACAAATGGATTAGCGTTCCATTAGGAATTGATGTACATTTATAGCTACCCAATATACAGTACAAACTATGGGCAGGCAACTGCTGCCGTGCACAGCCCTCAGTGTGAGACTGATCTGGTCAGCACATTTCAATGGAAAATAGAGAAAACTAGTCTAATCACTTGTGAGACACTTTGACAATTAAAAATATACAATGTGAAAACATTTCATGTTAGTATATTGCAAAATGTTGCTATTTGCCATTTTTGCCATTGTGTTAAATAGCTTCGTCGTTTCTGGGGGGAAAAACAACTTGCCCATGCACAACCACTAGAAGAATCTTTTAATACATTGTCTTTTGATAGCTTTGACCAATAAAAACCACCTTCGGGTGTTGAAATTAATGAGAACAGTAGAAGCTGTAGTCATAACCTGGTTGCAGCGTTTCTGGAATTGTGCGAAAAATGACACTTTCTCATTTTGGGTACTATTGTTTCACCTTGCCTACAGGCTTATGGCACCACTTGACAGCTCCACATCATACCTCATCTAAATGTACATAAAATAAGCTTTCAAGTAATTTATGATGTGGGTGTGGGTACATTAAACTGCCCAAAATAGCCCTTTTTGGGGAATTGCTGCACGCCTATGTTCTTTGGCTGTCCCATGAACCCCACCGTTCCTGGCTGTGTCCATCTCAATAAGAGCTTGGTGCTGAGGGTCCTGCACGGTTACCTCTGGAGAATCACATGCTAACGTGGTTCTGTGGCTGACATTATTGGCAGCAGAGTCCCCGTATCCCACTGGATCAACACAAATCTTGTGCCAGAGGTCCAGCATCATCAACTGCAAAAGCCAAAGAGGTTCTATGTCTAACATGAACAGCATTGCAGGCCCAGATCTCTTCTGGGCTGACTGAGGCCAGTGCCAAGGATCAAGCATATTTGCTTCTGAAGCACTGCTTGCCAAAGTGGACGATGTGCCCAGGCCCATCAAGGCAGGGTTCCAGCTCGGGTGACTCTCTGTGCTCCACACAAGTGGTACTGAAGTCCCTGGATCCACCCAACAGAGTCCAGTACATAGGGTTAAGCTCCGTAAAGAGCTACTGCCCAATGAGGCTGTACAGCTGGATGGAAATTGAGCTCTGTGCTGTGGTTTGGGGGACTGTGTGTATGCTGAGCCTAGTGGACTGCTAGGCAAGGCTGAGAGCTTCTTAACGAGGCTGTGATCCCTAACCCTTTTAGCACCCATCAACCCTTAACCAGGGGGCGGGGCTACTCAGGGAGACCAGGACTTTAAAAAGCCTGCTCCTAAGTGACTGGAGGAGCTAGCATACAGGAGCGACTAACAGGAGTTTTGCCAGGGAGTTTACAGGGGGAGCGTGAGCAGGGGCTAGAACTCAACATTCTTTAAACTTAAAAGCCAAAACCACCCCCTTGATAAAAACAAAACCTCAACAAAGGAACCAGCTGCAGGAGTAAAAAGAGAATGCAGGCAGAAGTCCAGCAACAGAGTGGGTTTGCGATGACCGGGAGAACCGCACGGTGACTTGCCTGCCTGGTGCGGAGGTTGCGGATCTATCGAGACATCTAGATAGGCTTATGTGTAGTGCCGGGGAGGAGCCGGTGGTCGTGGTACAGGTAGGTACCAATGACATAGGGAAGGATAGGAGAGAGGTCCTGGAGGCCAAATTTAGGCTGCTAGATCAGAGATTGAAGTCCAGGACCTCCATGGTGGCATTCTCTGAGATGCTCCCAGTTCCACGCGCAGGGCCAGTTAGACAGGCAGAACTGCAGGGTCTCAATGCGTGGCTGAGACAATGATGTAGGGAGGAGGGGTTTAGATTTATTAGGAACTGGGGAGCCTATACAGGAACGATGGGCTCCACCTAAATCAAAATGGAACCAGATTGCTGGCACTTAACACTAAAAAGGTTGTAGAACAATTTTTAAATTAAGGGCTGGGGGAAAGCCGATAGGTGCGGAGGAGCACAGGGTTTGGACATCTCTTAGGGGAGGATCTATTAATAGAGAATCTCTATGTCCTAGTGACGATGAGAGGATGGAAAATGATAAAATACAGGCAGGGTCTGATCAGAAACAGTCAAATAAAAAAGAGTAATGGCATACTGTGCAATCTGCCCACTGATCAGGAACTGGCTTCAGGTCAGGGTTAGCTGTGGCTGGCTTTGAGAAGGTCCCTGTTTCTATTGTAAACGGAACTCTTAATAATAAAGAACCGCGGGGTCAGTGGAGCGCCTGTGGAGCGCTGCCTTGTCCTTTGGGGGATGTGTCTGCCTCGAGGTGAGACGGGAGCTGTACGAGAGATTCAGAAGTGTGCTGTTAGACAGGGTGGAGGTGAGATGCCGGGCTGGTTGAAGGCAATGGGATACAGGCCTTCTCACCCGTAGGGCCTGATTCAGATCTGACCCCCAGATTTGAAAGCCACTGCTGTCCTCTGTCTGACCTGCATGACGTGAGACTGGGGGGAGGGGTCTCACTCCACTTCCATTTCCCGTATCCCATCAGCAAATGTCAGTACTAAGGGGCAGCCTCAGCTGTGGGGATTTAGATGGGCTCTTGCATTGCATCTTCACGGCTGAGGATGGGAGGGAGATTCCGAAACCTGAGCCATTCTTTTTAAGTGACAAATATGAGGAACTGTCCCAAATTGAGGTGTCATTAGAGGAGGTTTTGGAACAAATTGATAAACTAAACAGTAATAAGTCTCCAGGACCTGATGGTATTCACCCAAGAGTTCTGAAGGAACTCAAATGTCAAATTGCAGAACTACTAACTGTCATCTGTAACCTATCATTTAAATCAGCTTCTGTACCAGATGACTAGAGGATAGCTAATGTGCCGCCAATTTTTTAAAAGAGCTCCAGAGGTGACCCTGGCAACTACAGGCCAGTAAGCCTAACTTCAGTACTGGGCAAACTGGTTGAAACTATCGTAAAGAACAGAATTGTCAGACACATAGATGAATGTAATTTGTTGGGAAATAGTCAACATGGTTTTGTAAAGGGAAATCATGCCTCACCAATCTACTAGAATTCTTTGAGGGGGTCAACAAGCATGTGGACAAGGGGGATCCAGTGGACATAGTGTATTTAGATTTTCAGAATGTCTTTGACAAGGTCCCTCACCAAAGGCTCTTAAGCAAAATAAGCAGTCATGGGATAAGAGGGAAGGTTCTCTCATGGATTGGTAACTGGTTAAAAGATAAGAAACAAAGGGTAGGAATAAATGATCAGTTTTCAGAATGGAGAGAGGTAAATAGTGGTGTCCCCCAGGGATCTGTACTGGGCCCAGTCCTATTTAACATATTCATAAACAATCTGGGAGAAGGGGTAAACAGTAAGGTGGCAAAATTTGCAGATGATACAAAACTACGCAAGATAGTTAAGTCCCAGGCAGACTGTGAAGAGCTACAAAAGGATCTCACAAAACTGGGTGATGGGGCAACAGAATGGCAGATGAAATTCAATGTTGATAAATTCAAAGTAATGCACATTGGAAAACATAATCCTAACTATACATATACAATGATGGGGGTCTAAATTAGCTGTTACCACTCAAGAAAGAGATCTTGGCGTCATTGTGGATAGTTCTCTGAAATCATCCACTCAATGTGCAGCAGCAGTCAAAAAAGCAAACAGAATGTTGGGAATCATTAAGAAAGGGATACATAATAAGCCAGAAAATATCATATTGCCTCTATATAAATCCATGGTACGCCCACACCTTGACTATTGCATGCAGATGTGGTCGCCCCATCTCAAAAAAGATATATTGGAATTGGAAAAGGTTCAGAAAAGGGTAACAAAAATGATTAGGGGTCTGGAATGGCTTCCATATGAGGAGAGATTAATAAGACTGGGACTTTTCAGCTTGGAAAAGAGGCGACTAGGGAGGGATATGATAGAGGTCTATAAAATCACGAGTGGTATAGTAAATAAGGAAGTGTTATTTATTCCTTCTCATAACACAAGAACAAGGGGTCACCAAATGAAATTAATAGGTAGCAGGTTTAAAACAAACACAAGAAAGTATTTTTTCACGCAACTCACTGTCAACCTCTGGAACTCCTTGCCAGAGGGTGTTGTGAAGGCCAATACTATAACGGGGTTCAAAAGGGAGCTAGATAGATTCATAGAAGATAGGTCCATCAATGGCTGTTAGCCAGGATGGGCAGGGATGGTGTCCCTAGCCTCTGAGTGCCAGAAGCTGGAAATGGGTGACAGGGCATGGATCACTTGATATCCTGTCTGTTCATTCCCTTTGGGGCACCTGCCATTGGCCACTGTCAAGAGGACAGGATACTGGGCTTGATGGACCTTTGGTCTGACCCAGTATGGCCGTTCTTATGTTCTTGAGACCGGGCTGCCCTAGTGGTGGTGTCTCAGAGGGGGTTGAGATGTGTGCGCAGACACAGGTGTGTAGTGGGGGAAGAGGCTTGTGCTGGGCTGTGGGTGAAGAGAGGGCTTCAGCCTTCAGGACTGTGAAGCTGCAGGACGTTTACTCAAGCCCCTGAGTAAGGGTGACGCAGTTGGTGCCTGTCCACTCTTGGGAAGCTGCTGTGTTTAATTGGTGTAATTCCGAACGTTCTGTGAGGTCTCTGCTCTGTTCTGGAGGCAGCCTTGGCCATTCAGGGATTCGGTTCCTTGGAAAGTGACCCATCAGCTGCCGGGAAAAGATCTCCTGACCCACGAGTCATCCCAGCCACCTTTGTGCCTTTCTCTTCCAGCTGGGAACAGCGAGAGCTACCGAACGGGAGGGTCTATTACGTGGACCATAACACCAAGACCACCACCTGGGAGAGACCTCTGCCTCCAGGGTAAGACACTTTTGAGATACTTGGAGTTTCCGAGGGCAGAGGGGAGCCCCGGATAATAGCTGCCTGGATGGATTGGGCACACAGCAGGCTGCCTGCAAAGGAGAAAACGGGAGAGACAGATGGTGGGAGAGACGCATCTCCATTTCCAGGCAGGTTGCTGCCTCCTGGAGATGTCACATGTTCTCATGCCAGTCCATACTTACTCGCCTCAGTCCGTTTCTATCTGTAGCCCCTCTGAGCCCTTGTTTTCCAGAGCTCTCTCTGGTTCTCTCCTTCTCTCTGTGCCCCTTAAAAGCTGAAAGTGATAAAGCCAAATCATTGTTTTTCCCTTGGCTGCATTTAGACCGGAGTGATCCTAATCAGTGAACGTACTTTAAAAGCCAGCATGCAGGGTGAATGTGAAATAAGGCCTTTCCCACGTCGCTTCCATACCCCTCATCTCTCCTACTTACATACAACACTTCCTGCTAAAACCGGACCTCTGCAGCCCTCCCTGCTGCCCTGTGGTCTTGTCTGAGCGCCTAGGCTACTCTGAGTTTAGACAGGCCCTTACGTGGGTGGGAACCCTCCCAGAAAACCCCTGGTGGTGGTTGTGATGCAGTAGGGGGCTTCCCACGACCCAGTTCCCCAGCATGGCGCTGGCTGGTGCTGTGGACCTGGGCGGGGAGAGGGAAGGAGAAACCTATGGAATCACCAGTGTCACTTCCTTTAGCACCTGGGCTCTCCTTGGACAGTTCCTGTCCTCCAACTACTCAGCAGCGCTACCCGGCTTAACAGGACCTCTGCAAAGAGGCACCATGGCTCCCGTCAGTCTCGTGTCCTGTGGTGCTGAAGTCGTCCTATCCAAAGGAATCCATTCCCTGTGGAGTGAGGGATCCAGTCTGATTGAGACTAGAGCTGCCCTGTAAAGCCGGCAGCGCTGGTTTCTCAGAGGGGAGGAGAAGCAGTGTTTGAAATGAGACTGCGGTGGTAGGACTCAGTGCAAAGTCTTGGTCCTGCCGGGACACGCTCGACCACCACAGCTCTTGTAATCCAGTTCCCCCAGAACGGCTCTGGACTCCTTTCTTGCCTGTGAGTTTGGAGACCAGTAACCCCTGAAATGCTGCCGCGAGCCAAAGCCTAGCCCATAGCGCATCCTCTGTGAATGCACTGTGCCCTCTGCTCATCCCGGCACCTCAGATGGCTTCTGTCCTGCAGGTGTCGGAGGCAACTAAGCAACCCGCTGCAGTGGCAGGTGGGGGTACCATAACCCCTGGGGCCCGTCTCTGACACCCCACGGGGAGGGGTTTGTTCCACTCCCTGCTGCTCCAAAGCAGCGCGGCGAGAAGCTCGGTACCAGTGGGACGCTGTGCGACCCAGCTCTGCAAGGCACAGAAACGCCACCATCTGCTTGGGCCTTGCTGCTCACTGAGTCTGGCTCCAAAGGCTCCACCAGCGCCTCTCTCATCACCAGCCTCTCAAGACTTCCGGGGCACCCTGTGCCTGAGGTGGGGCAACCCTCTCAGCAGCGGGGCTACATTCCTGGCCACTGAGTGGCTGTTCTCCCCCGGCGGGACTGAGTAATTGCTCTCCCTTGGGTCTAGCAGCAGGAATGGAAGCTGAGTCTCCGGCCTTGAAGCCTCAGTTCTAGTGGTTCTCTGGGTCTGCTTTGGCGCCAGCCGGGATGGGCTTGAATGCTCACCCCTAAGGCCCTCACAGTAAGAGAACTTGTGTGTCCAGGACACACGCCGTCCCTTTCAGCCTGAGAAGAGTTTTCCTCATGGGGCTTCTCTAGCACCTTGGGATAATCCTTCCCCATGGCTTTGTGGCCCTGTTGACAGGGACCACCTCCTATTCCTTGGTAGGCTGGCTGATGGCCTGGCTGCCCATCTGACAGTTGTGAAGGTTCATTTCCTAGGAAGGAAGGAAGGTATGTTCCACTGACATTCCCGGTCTCTGAGTTACCAAGTAACCATGGTAAGTCGTGGCCAAGAATCACTGTCAGCCATGAGACTGGGTGGTGCCCCAGGCTGAACCCCTCATGGGGGAACCACAGACAGTATCTAGGAGCTTGGAAAGCAGAACAGCATCTAGCATCTTCTGCTGCCTTGGACCCAGCAGCAAGGGCACCATTTCTCTGCTAGCAAGGGAGCTTTCCATTCTTTCTTTGGCTTTTAAACATCTCCATCCTCCTCCTCCATCCCTCTGACCTGCCATGTTTGTTCCATCCACGTGTTGCCCTCCAGTTCTCTCTCCAGTGCTCCTTGGGGGACCCCCTGCACTAGGAGCACCTCCCAAGGCTTATTACGAATGCTGCTTCCGCGGCCCAGGGTTGAGCGGTTAGGCTCTGTGTGATGACGGCAGCGCGGGTTTGATTTGCTGTCGTGAACTGCGCTGTGAGATCACAGACCATGCGGGCTCATCCCACGGCTGGGAGCAGGGAGATCTGCCTCCCTTTCTTTCCAGCCACGCACTGGAGCACTCTGGAAGCTAACAGTTTGCTAGGTTGAGCCCTGGGGAAAACCACAAGCATCTGCGGAGCACCCCGACTAGCACGTACCAACGGGTTAGCCAGCCGTGCTAACGGACCGTCAGCTAAGGTGGTAGTGTGTGAGCGAGTGGGTGTCGGGGCGAGCGGAGGGTCTGTATGGGGGGTGGCGAGTACCGTTGGTAATGCCGTCCTGTCTGCGGTGTTTCCAGCTGGGAGAAGCGAGTGGACCCCCGGGGCAGGTATTACTATGTGGATCACAACACCAGGACCACCACTTGGCAGCGTCCCACAGCGGAGTATGTGAGGAACTACGAGCAGTGGCAGACGCAGCGAAACCAGCTCCAAGGGGCCATGCAGCAGTTCAGCCAAAGATTCCTGTACCAGGTAAGGGAAGTCGACATCTCCTCTTAAGGGGTCAGACGGGTGGGACCGTGGAGCAGTTTTCATCGGCCCTCCCTGAGCAGCGTGTGCGGAATCCAGGCCCTGCTCAGGGATGTTGGCTGTAGTTGTGGAATGATGTGTGAGGGTCTGTCAGACCTGCTAACCAGTGAAGGTGACGTGGGACCCAAACAGCCTCCAGGGTCTCCAGTGACAATACAGCCTTCTCCAGCTACGGCTTGCTAGGACCCTTCCCCACACTGCAGTCTGCCCGTTGTACTGGGCGCTTCTCCAGGCAGTTACCAGTCCCTTCTCCTAGTTCCAGAGCCCAGCACTCCTCCGAGGGCCTCTCCAGCTGACTCACAGCCACTGCCCTCATGTGCTGTATCCCTGATCCGCTCCGCTCCAGAGGACAAGAACTGCAGGAACTTCAGAGCAAGGGGTTGGAGCAGCTGGGAAGATCCCACAAACACCTCTGCTGCCTCCAAGGCAGGGAGCCAAGAAACCCTGAGGGAACTGGCGTTCCCTCTTTAAAGAGATCCCTAGAACTGTCGGGCTGGAAGGAACCTGGAGAGGACATCTAGCCCAGCCCCCTGCACTGAGGCAGGGCCAAGTGAACCTAGCCTGTCCCTGACAGCCGTTTGTCCAGCCTGCTCTTAGAAACCTCCAGTGACGGGGATTGCACAGCCTCCCGTGGAAGGCTGTTCCAGAGCGTCGCTGCCCTTAGAGTTAGAAAGTTTCTGCTAATATCCAGCCTAATGATTCATGTTGTCCTGAGCAGAGGCAGCAGGAAATGACCTCAGGCCCTCTCCCCCGGGATGGGGGGGAGACTAGCATGGCAGAGGAACTTGCTTTCTCCGTCGACTCCTCTGTGAGTCCCTAGGGCCTTCTCTGGAGTGTCCTGGAGCTGTCCCTGGTGGGATGGTTGCAGGTCTCTGCTGGGTGCCATGCGGAGCTCAGGCCGTTCTGGGAACTGGATCCGTGGCAGGAGAGAGGTGCTCGGAGCCCAGCTAAGGCTCAGGGCCGGCTCTGGCTTTTTTGCCGCCCCAGGCAAAAAAGCCTCCGCGCCCCCCCCCCGCGGGGGGGTGGGGCGGCCGGAGCCCGGGGGGAGGGCGGCGAGCCCCGGCGGGGGCTCCGCTCTCCCCCCTCCCCCCCGGCGGCCAGCGCGCCGGGGGCAGGGCGGCGAGAGGGCGGCGAGCCCAGCTGTGGCCCCGCTCTCCCCGGCAGCCGGAACGCCGCGCCGCCCCCCTCCAGGTGCCGCCCCAAGCACCAGCTTGGTTGCCTGGAGCCGGCCCTGCTAAGGCTGTTCCATCCGGGAACCTGTGTTTAGCGAATGGCGTGGCTGGGCTCGGGCAGTGAGGTCACACTCTGTCCCGGGAGACTGGAACGATCAATTCCGAAGCAAGGTAATATACGAGCGGCTCCCCTTCCTGGGTGCTCAGGCAGTGGCTGCTGGGGTGAGGCCAAAGGCCCCCAGAGCCCCAGGGCTAAGCGCTCTGCTCAGAAGGCGCCTCCTGCTTTCCCTGCCTCTTTCCTTGGGCTTGAGCTGGACGAAATGGCCACGTCTCCTTGTTGGAGGATGTTGAGCTCTCACCTAGCCTCTGCGGGGATGCAGCTGCCGAGCGCAGAGACTGGGCTCTGGCAGCTCCTATCCCCTTTGAGCAGGACCCTCCCTGCTTATCTCAAGAGCTGGAATTCAAACTTCAGAGTCAGATAGTGACTGGCTGGAGAAATCTGCGGCCAGGAGACTCTCTGGACGGGCCAGGCGGTCCCCAAACCCACCCTCCACCCCTGCTGAGCACCTGTGACCACAGCTGACTCAGCACTTGTGCAGATCAGGCCTAGGTCAGCAGCTGGCAGGCCACAGACTTGGCCAGTGGAGTCATCAGGCCTGTGCGCTGACCTTTACCCAGGACGCCTCTGCCCCCCAGTGCAAGGACCTCCAACCACTCCCCTGTCAAACAGCCCCTGGCTGAGTCCTGGATCTTACAGGAGGCCTCAGCCCTGGGCAGCGCTGCTCTCCCGGGGCTCCGCAGGGGTGTGATTGTGGGAAGACGCGTGAGCCTCTCCCGGTTCCTGTGTCCACTGCTCCAAGCCCTCCGGTCTGCTCCGATGGCACGTGTGCGTGGGCCTGCTGTCCTTGCCAGGGGCAGCGGAGAGCTCGCGGGTGTGAGCATGGGGTCGGCGTGGGAAAACAGCCCCTTCCCCCCCAAGCGAGAGCTCCTGGGTGATGAACTTCTCTTCCCCACGGAGGGAGCCAGGAGGCTGAGCAGTCCAGAGCTATAGAAATGCCCCTTGCAGCTGGCCATGGCCCCTGCATCCAACTCGTGGTGTGCTAGCAGTGTCAGAGCGCGGAGCAACCTGCCTTCCCTGCTCTCAGTCTTCCTTCCCTTCCAAGCCTGGCCCTCCCTGTCCTTCAGCGAGCTTGCTGGGCTGCCGCAGGCTTCGCTGCCCTCCACGTGCCCATTGCTCTCCTCCAGGGTTGGCAGCGCTGGCTCCCAAGCGCTGAGTCCGTCAGTCCAGAGCGTTGCCTGTGTTCTGAGCGTGAGCCCCCGAGCCACCGCGCTGCAGCCATGCCAGCGCTTTGTGCCACACCCCGGCCGGGCGCTGGGCAGGGCGGAGGGGACTTCACTGCATCAGGCTAAATCTGGAAGTGATGATCCTTTTGCTTCCAACGTTGCTGCCAGGAGTGCTGGCTGCTGCTCAGCTCCCATCCCCAGAGGGCCTTTGGCTTGAGCCGTCCCGGGCCGGCCGGCCTGTGTGGCAGGAAAGGCAGCTGGGCTAGGCTGGCATTGCTTAGTCCTGCGGGTGGCCCGGGTTTCTCAGTATCGCTGGCCTCTGTCTAGCGCAGCATTTCTGGGCTTCTGCGCCCGGCAGCATGGATGGGGACAGGGCTGTGTCCAGAAGCTGCTCTCGTGCTGGGCTGCCTGGCCCTGCCCTGGGGATTTTCCGTGGGCTCCTGCCCTTGGCAGTCTTGGAGCATTTGCTGTGCTGATTTAACTGGGCACCATGTTAGTTTTCCCTTATGCTTCTGTGTTGCCCCTGGGAGCTGTGTCTCTCCCTGGCTGTTAGCAGCCTGGCCATTCCCCCTCGCTGCACATGTGTGGGCACTGTGGGAGCAGCGCGGGGGCTGGCTCCTGCAGCTTTAGGCTTCGCTCGTGTCGCGCTGCCATGTTTGTTCAAATCCGTTATTTTTAGGTCCCAGTGAGGTGATACCTCCGGACGTGACTCGGCTGGCTCTCTGGCAGGCTGCTCCGTGCGTCTGTCTGAGCAGGGAGGGGCAGCTGAGACAGCCCGCCGCATGAGCCAGGATTTCTCAGCGTGGCCATGGCCTGCTCACACCAGTCCCTGCTCGGCAGATTGTGTGTGGGGAGAAGGGGCCTTGACTGCCGTGGGTTCTGTTTGTTCCCAATCCCGTGTCCTGTCTCACCCCACCGGGATTTCACATGGCCCCTCGGGTTCACCTGCACCCTCAGACACAAGGGCAGTTCCGTCGGCAGGCAGCCGGAGATGCCGCGTGCCTTGACCACGGGGCTCTAGGCAGCCCTGTGGCTCAGAGTGGAAGCTGTGTGTGGACGTCCGTCGTTTCCCTGTGGGGCGGGGAAGGGGTTGGCAGTGCCATGGTGTTTCCCTGAGCCGCGGTCGGGTTTCTGTGCATGGCGCGCTGCTCCCTTCCTCAAACCAGTCGGCTCCGGATCCGGGGCCTGCCTCGCAACGTGAGCCCCCAACGCCCACACTTTAACGTTAGGAGGGGAAATGAAAAGGCCGTTTTAGTAACAATATGTTTCTTATTTAACGCTGAGAAGTGTATGCTGAGCCCCCCACTCTCCTGAATCCTGGCCTGTTTGGTCTGGCGGGCCATCCCCAGGAGACCTCCCAGCAAAGCCGGGGAGGGGGGTTAATCTAAACAGTGCCAGGCCAGCAGCCCCCAGTCCAGGCTGCTCCGCTCGCCCTGAGCCAGAATAAAGGTGCTTTGTGCAGTGGACCTGTTGGGGGTGGGGACGTGCAGGGGGCTCAGGGAGACGCCTGTCTGTGCAGGCATGAATGTTTCCTCAGTTGGAGTGCATCTCGCACACTGCCGCTCGCTTTCACAGCCCGCTGCGAAGGGGGAGGCGGGGGAGGCTGCAGGCTGAGCCAGGAAGCGCTGGGCGTGGACAGGGCTTGTGGGAATGATTTCATTGGAAAGGCCTGCGCTATTTTTTCCCCTCTTGTGTGTGGTTCTTGGAGAAGGTTGGAGGTGTAACTGTGGTGGTGATATCAGTCGCCTTGGCCAGCAGGAGCAGAGCAGCCGTGCACAGCTGGATGTTCCAGCAAGCCCTGCTCCTCTCTCCCATGGCCCCTGCTCCTGCTGCCCCGGCCGTGGTTTAGCGTGGGCATTTTTCACCCCGAGCGTGCAAGTTGCTTTTAGTTCCTTAGCAGCAGGCTGTTTTCCTGGGCTGAGAGTTGGGGTTGAGAGGAGAGCGGGGAGCCTGCCCTCACCTCCCTGCTCATCTCACTCCCGGCTCTTGATAATCTCTGTGTTGTTTTGTATTTTTGCCCCCTCTGCTGTCTCCAGTCGTCCGGCACCCCGTCTGACAATGATCCTCTGGGCCCCCTTCCTCCCGGCTGGGGTAAGTACCAAGCCTTCTCCCCTGCTCTCTCCCTTCTGCTGCTCACCTGGCACCACCCCCACTCCATCGCTAGGGCTTGAACCCTTCCTGCGCCGTCCGTCCCTTCCCGCAGCACCTTTCCGCTGGCTGGCTGGCTGCTCTTGGGGGGCAGAACCTGCGTTACTGGTGGGATGTGTGAGCATAGGGAAGATGACCATGTCCCACCGTCCATGCTGCCTGTGGGGTGGATCTGCCAGACATCCACCCCAGCCTGGACTTTAAATCCAGCATTTTGAGTCCAGAGGTGCCCAGCTCTCTGGGTTTGCTCCCTGTTGACTAAACCCAGTAGCATCTGTGATTGTTGCCTGGACTCGAGGAGGGGTGGGAGAGGTCGGCTCTTCTGCCTGGCTCTCTCTGCCGGGGTCAGCTCCCCCGTTGCATTTGGGAATGGGAGGAAAGGCTCCGCCACGGGGGAAGGCCTCTTGCTGATGGTGTCCAGCAGGAAGTCTACATTGGGAATTTGCTGTGGTCCGTTCTCGGTGCCATTGCTTTCCACTGGGCTCCACCAGGCACCTGCCTTTTTCGTGTCACCTCTGAACCGAATGACGCTAGCCCAGAGTGAGGTGGGTTGTGGGTAATGCGGGGATGGGACAGCCACTTAGTGGAGATCTAGGGAGTGGCAACAGCGTGTGCCCAGGGGAGTATCCCGTGGTACCGGAGAGAGCTGGACAGGAGCTGCTGCTGAGACTCTGGGGGATGATGGGCATGGATGGGGGATATGGAAGATCCCGGGAGCGCTGGGCCGGTTTGAAATGGCGTTTCTGAACCAGGGTGTGGAGCAGAGAGAGCCCCGTGTACGCAATGGTGTGCCCTGGAGGCGCTGCTAGGACAGGGCAGCCTGTACAAGATGTGCCCCCCGCCCCACTTCTCAGGTAACTGCTCCGCTGGGCGATTGCTCCAGCTGGGCTGAAACCTGGGGGGCGGGGGGGCGGGAATCACCCCCCCCCACCCCCAGGGAATAATCAAGTTTGGGGGTGGTGGTTATGAAGCCGGGACCATGGGGCTGCAGAGGGAACAGGAGCCATTGCCCGGGTTTGCTGGCAGGCGCCGTTACCACCGTATTCATGGCATGTGACACTCAACGGGAGGGTTTTGCAAACCTCAGTGAGGATGGAGACACAATACAAAGGTGACTAGAGACGTGGACAAAGGCCAGGTGCTCTAATAACCCACCCCGCAGCAGCTGGCTGGGCGGACGGCCTGGGTAGGAGCGACATGGAGACTTGGGGCTGGACATGCAGATGTGGCTGGGGAGTGTCTGGGTCCGAGGACCTCAGCCCCCGAGGCCCGTTAGCGTCGTAGGGAGATTGGAGCAGGGCTGCAGGGGCTGGAGGAGGGGTTAACAGCCTGCTGACGGGACTGCTGCTGGCAGCAGCAGTTTTCCTATCTTGACACCAGGGAAACTGTCAACAGCTACTTGGGGTGTGAGCCCCAGGGCTGGGGGGACCATAGAGCGTGCGCCAAGGAGAGGCCAGAGGGTGAAACAGAGAAGGCAAATGCAGGGTGGCTATCGGACCAGCATCCTGGCAGCCAGATGCACCAGGCTGTCAAGGGGGCAAGGTGGAAACCCAGCTGCTTGAGTCATTTAATACTGTCCTGGGCAAGACACCTGGCATGAGCCTGACCCTAGTTGGTGAGATGGACCTAACAGAGCTTCCCCATCCCTGACATCTGAAATCCTTATACCCTGCTGGCTCGTGTCTTTTCTGAGGGAGCCCCCTTTAATTCCGTGCGTAGTACAAGCGGGCAGGGGGGGTGGGCTGTGGGCTGGATGGGGGCCCGGCTGGGCTGTGGGCTGGGGGGGAGGGTGTGTGGCCTGGCTCAGATGTGGGCTGGGTGACCCCAGGGCCTCGGGTGGGGGGGTGACCTGGCTCAGATGTGGGCTGGGTGACCCCAGAGCCTCGGGGTGGTGGCCCGGCCACGCGGGGCCATGGAGGAGCTGACAGTCCAAGGGAGAGCCCAGCAACAGCTGCTGCACGCAGGCGGCTCAGGGCAGCGCTGGCTCGGTCAGGTTTCTGGGTGCTGCTCCCTGCAGCCGCTGCGGTGCTTGGGCCCTGTGCAGGAGGGGCATTGGCCTGGGTCACTCGAGGGCTTCCAGCAACTCTCCGCTTGTAGCACTAGCCCGAAGTAAGGCCCCTGTGAGTGGAGCAGGGGCTGTGGGCAGGAGCTGGCTCCCAGGTGCTCTCAACCACCAGCCCCGGCCTAACTGGCTCCCTGCCCCCTGCTTCTGGCCCTGATTTATTTCCAATAACCTTGTGGTCTCAGTGAGGAGAGTCTGGCATGTCCTGGGCTGCTCTGTGCATCCGGCTGAGAGCGCAGTCCAGCCAAAGCCTGCAGCGTGGGAGCAAACACATGAGCTGCCTTAGCGTCCAGGCGGGAAGGGGGAAGGGAGCCTGCTTCCAATTAGCGCTACAGCCTGAGCCACCCTCCAGGAGGTGCCTGGGACTCCCGGGAGCATCCTGCTTCCCCAGCTCAGCCTCTGGAGCAGCGAAGAGCAGTGGGAGGAGGGGGAGCTCCCAGGAGTGGGAGGTGAGCAGGGCCACACGCTCAGCGTGCTGCCGCTCCCGCAGCTGGGCCTCTCCAGCGAAGCAGCAGGGCAAATGCCGGGACTGGGGAAACTCTGCTCCTCCCTGTAGTCTGTGCAGGAGCAGGCGGGGCTGGCGGCCCACAATAGGGCCAGTGCCTTGGGGGTGCCCGCGGGCAGGGCCTCCGTGCAGCGTGGCTAGGGGCAGGGGTACCTGGGAGCATGCGCAGTTGTGTGGGGTGTGCGTGTCTGTGTGTATCGGGAGGCGGTTGTGTCTGTATACGACAGTGCGTGTGTTTGGGTCTAGAGGAGAGGCAAAGTGATGACAAGGGGTGTGCGTGAAGGGAGGGGTGTACCTGGAGTATACGTACACATAGAGGTGTACGGAGGGCTCAGGAAAGCTGTACATGGAGAGCTCTTTGTTTGGGCGGGGGAGGGTGCCTCAGTGTGTACATGGTTAGGCTGTTGGTTTGTGAACTCTAGGGGAGCGTAGGGGTGCGTGTGTGTGTGTGTAAGTGGGTGTGGGGGAGGCATGTGTGGTGCATGTGGCGGGTGTGTATGGGGGGAGACCTGTGCATACACTGGGAGTTTAAGGGGCGGGTGTATAAAGTGGATGTTTCTGAGGGAGGTGTGTGTTTGATGAGCGGGTTGTGCATGCAGTGGAGGGGTGTGGGAGGTGTGTGCATGTGATGGGTGGAAGGGGCATGAATGGGGCGCATGCAGCAGGGAAGTGGATGGGGGAGGCCTGTGAGGGGGTTCATGCAGTGGGGGAGGGATGTGGGTGGAGGAGAGGGGTGCATATGCGGCGCATGCAGCTGGGAGGGGAACGTGAGTGTGGGGTGTGCATGCGGCCAGGGGGAGGGATTCAGGTGGGGGGGGGCAGGCGTGTGTATGTGGCTCATGCAGCGGGAAGGGGAAGGGGTGTGAGGGGTGTGCATGTGGTCGGGGGGGTGTATGTGGCTCAGGCAGCGGGAAGGGGAAGGGGTGTGAATGTGGCCAGGGGGAGGGATTCAGGTGGGGGGGGCAGGGGTGTGTATGTGGCTCATGCAGCGGGAAGGGGAAGGGGTGTGAGGGGCGTGCATGTGGTCAGGGGGGTATATATGCAGCGCATGCAGCGGGAAGGGGAAGGGGTGTGCACGTGGCCAGGGGGAGGGATACAGGTGGGGGGGGGCAGGGGTATGTATGCGGCACATGCAGCGGGGGCTGGGAGGCGTGTGCACACCCATGTGGCAGGACAAGGCTAGTTACAGCACTCTTCCCAGAAGCTGCACATCCTGTATCTCTGCGTCTCTGTGCCCCGGCCGGGCCCAGAGTGCTCAGGGTGTTGAGCTCTGTGTCAGGTGCCAGGGCCCGCGGAGCGTGGGCGGGGACCCTGCTTTGCGGGACATTGTGAGTAGTTGCTGCTCTTCCTTCTCATGCTCCATTTACCCCAGCCTTAGACCAAAGATTTTTCCTAGAGCCGGGCTGCAGGGGAATGCCATCCCTTTGCAAGGAGCGGGGGGCCCAGAAGCACTGGCCCCAGGCGATCCCCTGCTCTTGGGGAGCTGAGAGTTACAAAAGGCCCTTTCAGCTTCCAGCCTGTCTGGTGTGCGCTGTGCCCCGGGTGTGATTGCAGTGCGTGGAGAGGTACCCGCTAGCTCTGACCTCGCTAGCCTCAGTGTGGCTGTACCAGCCCACCTGCACCCTGGTCGTCTCGGGCATGGCTAGCCCACACTGCAGCCATGTGGCTGCATCGTCACTGCAGGTATCAGGTTTGTCTACACGCGCTGCAGCCACACCCTTGACCGCAGCGTCGCCATTCCCTGAAAGGCTTGAGGCCTGCGCGTGCTCCCCCTGGGCTAGTGCAGAGCCGTGCGAGTGGCGCGAATGGGCCGGAGGGGGCAGGGTAACACTCTCTCTCCCTCTTTCTCTCTCAGAAAAGAGACAGGACAACGGGCGAGTGTATTACGTGAACCACAACACGCGGACCACCCAGTGGGAGGATCCTCGCACGCAGGGGTAGGGCGCCACCTTTGCTTGGCTGGGTCACGCTCTGGCGAGTGGGCCCCTAACCACAACAGAGCTTTGTGCTAGTAACCCCACGTCTGAGAGCTCAGGACATGGGCTCCGGAGCAGTCCTGCAAACAGACACCTGCCGGGAGGGGGCCCTGTGGAAAAGGCATCAAGTGCCAGGAACTGCAGCAAGGCAGTGCCCAAGCAGGGGTGGGGGCACGCTGGTTTCCCCTGGGAATCCTGTCTGAGACCATCTGCCAGGCCCCAGACTAGGAGGCAGCCACAGCCCAGGCCCCCACGCAAGGGGAACACTCTGGGCTGGTTTGGGCAGGAGGAGGCACTTCCATGTAGGCCCCCTGAGGTCCCTGCCCCCTCCTACCGCATGGCTCTGTGCTCGGGTTCCCTCCCCACGCTGGGCCAGTGCAGCCAGAGTGAGTCCTGGGGGTGTCCCTGCGGTGGCTGGGGGTGCTGTGCTGTGCTCCCCATTGGGCACTTCTCCTGGGAGACGGCTGAGTGCAGCATTAGCTGGAGTCCGTCTCCTGGGCTGAGATCACACGGTGCAGGGCTCCTGGCCCAGGGCTGAACCAGGTCCCCACCAGTCCTGCAGCATGGAAGGGCTTCCTGGGAGCCAGGCCAGAGCTGCAGCTACAAGGAGACTCCTGGGGCTTAGGGGAGCGGCACAAGGCGTGAGGGGCTGGGGGCCAGGAGCTGCACTTGTTCCCAGCCTAGGGGGTGCCGGAGCAGGCCATGCCAGGGGAACGGGACCCTCTTGCTCCCAGTGTGCCACGTGTCCAGGAATCTTTTCCTTGTGCCGGGCAGGATGATCCAGGAGCCGGCGCTGCCGCCTGGCTGGGAGATGAAATACACCAGCGAGGGGGTGCGCTACTTTGTGGATCACAACACTCGCACCACCACCTTCAAAGACCCCCGCCCCGGCTTTGAGTCTGGGTAAGGCGCTTCCTGCCAGGGCCCCTCCTCCTGTCGCTGCCGTGTGCTGCCGGGCGGCTCGCGCCCGGGCTAGGAGCTGGGTCCTCCGCTCTGCCTGTGGTTGGCTCTGTAGCCTTGGGCCACTCCCACTTCCCCCATCAGGAGGGGCGAGGCTGTCATGAGGTGCTGGGAAGATGCCAAGTGCCGCTGTTAGTGCGGGACCCTGTGCACCTGCAGCGTGGCCTGGGGCCACTGGGTCGAGTAACGGATGGCTGGTGGTTGTGCCGCCCCACTCCCCGATACCCTTGGGCTGCTGGGCGCGCTCACGCTGGGCTGCTGTTCCCCTAGTGCCCAGCTGTGCAACGGCTGGCCAGGCCCAGCCACGGAGCAGGGGGTGGCTGTTGTATTGTGGGGGAGCTCTCCTGGCTGGGGCTGGGGCACGGCTCCCGGAGGTTCTCAGCCAAGGCCCATGTGTTTGCTCCTGTAGGAATAAGCAGGGGGGTTCCCCTGGGGCTTACGACCGAAGCTTTCGTTGGAAATATCACCAGTTCCGCTTCCTGTGTCACGTGAGTACTGGGGAGCGGGGCACGGGGGTCAGGACAGCCTCTCGCTCAGCCAGGCTGGGGGCTGGAAGGGGTGCGGGCGGCTCACTGAGAGGGCAGAGCTGTGCTGACTCTGAGCCCAGTCCCTGTGTTTGGTTCCAGTCGAACGCGCTGCCCAGCCACGTGAAGATCAGCGTTTCCCGGCAGACGCTCTTCGAGGACTCCTTTCAGCAGGTGAGGCCCTGCGCAGGGAGGGCCACAGGCAGAGCATGGCTCTCTGAAGGGGGCCGTGTGAGAGGGTACCAGGGATGCAGGAGCCGGGCTGGACCTGGATATCGGGGCAGCCCCTGTGGGTGACACGGCCCATCTCTTCCCCCTCGTAGATTATGAACATGAAGCCGTATGATCTGCGGCGCAGGCTGTACATCATCATGCGCGGCGAGGAGGGGCTGGACTATGGCGGCATTGCGAGGTGAGTCCTGCTGAACGAATGGGGCAGCCTGCCGGGAATGCCCTGCATGGGGCCCAGGGAGAGGCTTGGGGCTTTCACAGGGCAGAGCTCGGGCGCGTGTTCCTCTCCCAGGGCCCTGCTCAGCACCTGCTGCCACAGAGAAGCCCAGGGCACGTCCTGCTGGGTTTGAATGAGAAATGGCCTGAATCCTGTGTGCACCACAGTAACAAAACCGAGCCAGAGGGCCCCCTCCGGGCTCTGCCTGCGCCCCTGGGGCTGGGGAATGGGGGGGGG